ATGGCTTCGAGGGGCAGCCCAGCATTCCTAGCCCCCAAACTCTGCCCATATGGCATTGGGCTTGTGGTTAGAGTGCCACCTGGTGGCCATTTCAGAACAGAACGGACTCTTAGCAGAGACTAAATGTTGACCCTTGAACAACATGGGTTGGAACTGCACGGGTCCATTCACACGTGGATATTTTTTAATAGAAAATACTACAGTGTTACACAGTCCAATCCCCGGTTGGTTAAATCCTCACATGCAGAAGAGCAGAGTCAGAGGGCAGACCTTAAGTCATACATGGATTTTCGACTGCAGTGGGTCAACACCACTAACCCCGCTTGTTTATGGGGCAACTCTACATGCTCCCAAGCCTTCCTGGAGACAGACTCCTCCCTCTGCTCCACCCTACTTCTCCCCTCCCCTCCCCTCAGATCCATCTCTGAGCATTCATTCTCGGTGCCCAAGGCCTGAGGCAGAGCAGGATCTTGTGGGAGTCATGTGAAACCCATCAAGACTAACACAGTCTCCTGACCAGATATGGCTGGGAGGCCAATGATCAAGTCCCAGCTTGGCCACTGACTCACATTAAGCAAGACCCTATCCCAGGCCAGGCCTCTATTTCTTTGTTTACAAAATGAGAAAGAGAGGCTAAACCAGCAGCTCTTCTGGTCTATCTGATCTAGACCAGAGTAGACAAAGCTTCCTCATTCTATATTCTCCATTTGCTTCTTGTTTGTAAGCTTAAATAAGTGAAAGTGAAAGTGAAGTTGCTCAGTCGTGTATGACTCTTTGTGACCCCATGGACTGTAGCCTACCAGGCTCCTCTGTCCATTGGATTTTCTAGTCAGGAATACTGGAGTGGGTTGCCATTTCCTTCTCCAGAGGATCTTCCCGACCCAGGGATTAAACCTGGGTCTCCCACATTGTAGGCAGATGCTTTACCATCTGAGCTACCAGGGAAGTCCTTAGGCTGAAATAAACATGCTTTTAAATCTCTGGAGGATAGGAGGCGTCCCAGGACCCTTCCAGTTCTGATGTGATCCTTGTGCTTGCTAGGGCCACCTGAGTGAGGAAAAGAAATGCATGCAAACATGTGATTTCCCACATTCACTTCCTTTCCTGGATACCCCAATTCTTGGGATCAGAAGTAACCCTCAGAGGTCGTTCAGTCCAACCTGGGAGCCCCTCCAACAGCCCTTTTGGATGTCATGTAGCATCTGCTTACATCCAGTGAGGATGTGCTTACCCCCAAGGCAGCCTCACCCATCTCGTTAGCTCTGACAAACAAAGGCTTCTTCCCTAGTGGAAGACTCCTATCAGTCCTAAACCTGTCCTCTAAGGCCTCTGTCCTCACAGACCACATCTAATCACTCTTCCTGGAACAGAGCCCTTCAGAGATTTCAACATAGAGGTCATGTCCCCTGAAATCTTTTTTTTTTTTTTTCAGGGTAAATAACTCCACTTTCAACTCCGTCCCTCGTGGGGCTTTGCTGGTCTCTCTAATCCTGGTTGGTCCCTAGGACATCATCAACCACACATTTAACAAACGTCTACTGAGATCGTCCTAGGCAGTCTGGTTTGTGACCATCTCCTTCAGAGATTGGGGTGCAGATCAGAACACAGCACCTAGAAGAGAGATGGAGGAGTCAAGGAATGGAAAGATTTCTCCACTCCTATCACAGCCCCTCCAGAGGCACCGCCTTGCTGGGCCAAGACACTGGGTTGCTAAATCTTGTTGATCTTAGCTTAGGGTGGTCCTTGGACCAATTCCCATCCGTTAGGTAGTTAGAATAGGGAAAGAGTCCAAAATAGCGGTGGCTAAAAGACCTGGAAGGGAAAGCCCGTGAAAATAGAACAAAGGAAGGTCCAAGGAACGGAGTGAGAACCTCAGGTAAAACAACGCTCCTGCCTAAGCCCAATTTACGTAAGACAGGCCCAGGGACAGAGAAACATATAAAAAGAAGAGCGAAAGCCCTCTTCTCCCCTTTTTCTCTCTCTCTCCCACACGATGGGGCGCTCTTCTCTTCGCGTCTTTAGATCAACGTGCCCTCATGCCTCGAAGATGGATTTTCCTGCTATTATCTAACTAGAGCTGTTAACACTGAGCTGTAACACTGATTTATTTAAGAGCTATAACACGGTCCGTTCGAGACCTGAGAGCTATAACACGGTCTGTCCTCCGAGAGCTGTGACCCGCCAAGGGGCTTTAATGTCCGTCACTCCAAATTTTTGTTGTGACGAGACAGAGAACCGAGGAGCATACACTCGCATGACACATCCATCAGCAGTGGCTTTCTGAGAGACTGGTTGAGAAAGATTGAGTCTGGATCTGGGCCCAAGAGGGGTTAGAAAGGAGACCCCATCATGCAGAAGAGTAAGTGGTTTTCTGGTCCCCCCGCCCCCACAGGACCTCAGAGTGTCCCTATTTCTATCCCTCTTGTCAGGGGTGCCTCATTATCAGGATCTTGACTTCATCGGTCATCTAGAACATTCACCAGTCCAGCTCTGACTGCATTGGCATGTCTGGCATACATGTTGTCAATGTCCACTTACATATGTTGAGGGAAAATGTCAAACAGGACACAACTGAGGCTCCAAGATGTTAGGTTCTCCGTGGAAAAGAGACCTACACTTCAGTCAGTCTGACTTAGAAGCCTGATTTCCCTCCAGGACTCAGGCTGCCACTTCCAGGAAGGATAAGTAGTAAGCAGACCCTTCAGGCCCTTTGAGTGGCTTCCGGCCTGCCAGGCAGGCATGAGGCCCCAGGTGCGTGAATTGATGGAATCACGTGGACACAATCCTGCCCAAGTTCTAGCACGGCCCGTTTCCCAGCACAGTCATGTCCAGTTAACAGGAAACACTCATTTGTAAATGGGGATAATAAGGTCTACTTTTCAGAGTTGTTGTGAGGATCAACTGAGATGGCATATGTGAGTGCCTAGCTCAGTGACTGGCACAGAGAGGGTGCTTGATAAATGAGCACTGTTGCCCTGTATTGCTGTGAGCTGCTTTTGCCAAGGTGGAGTAGGACAGTGCCTGGGCCTCCGCAAAAGGCATTTCAGGCATACAGGAGGCAGAATTCTGTTACCAGCAACTGCAGAGTCTATAGGAGCCAAAATATGGCCGGCCCCAGGGGAGCCAGGGGCACAGCCAAGCTGATCCAACCCCAAGCTAGGGCCAGAGCGGGGTTGGAGAGGCTGGGTAAGCAGATAGAGGGAGGCCTAAATACCACTCCCCACCCCCCATCCTCAACACACGTTCACTGCCAAAGGCTGTGGCAGAGGCTACGAGAGGCCACCTCAGGGTAGGACTCAGAGTTTGGTCAGGGGCCCAGGCCATATGGGGCTGAGGCAAGGAGCAGAACCGGGGCCCATGTGCCCAGCAAGCTGTGCCAGCCCAGCCCATGCCAGCCCAGCCAAATTTGAGTTATATCAGGAGAAGGGATCTGTTCAGAAAACTCACCCATCTCTGCATATTTGCATATTCTATTTTGGGGTCGCTTCCTTTTTTTTCCCCTTCGCTTCCTAGAAAAGTTCCCGTGATCAATTCCAACTTCACCTCTGCTGAACTGCAAACGCTCACTCTCTTTCCCGTCTTCCCTCCAACCACCCTCTCCCTGGTCAGATACTCCAGGGTTCTCTGTCCTCCCTGCCTCCACTGCCCCCACCTAGCCAGGCCTCAACCCCTGCAACTGGGCTCTGTGCCAAGGCCACCATGGCTCAAGCAGTCAAGTCCAAGGTCAGCCCCTGGGTCACCACATTGCTCAGTGGTACTTCAGACCCCCTGACCATGCCCCTTGGGTCCAGTTCTTTTCAGCTTCTGTCCAGCTCTGATGACTCCTGCTCTAGCCTTCCCAGAAGCAGCCCATCTCCTCCTTCCTCCTTCCCGGTCCCACGTCCATCAGTCACTATTTGCTATAAAAGTCTAACTCCTTAGTGGGTGTCCCTTTTCCGGCCTTTCCTTGAAAAGCTGAATGTCATTCTCTCTTGACACAGGCCCATTCAATTCAAAACTTCCTGATCATTATCTCCAGCCTAGAAGCCTCCAGCTGTCTCCCAGACACCCCCACCTGGCTGTCTCACGGCCCCTCCAGCTCAGTATATCCTAAGTGGTCTTGTTTGCGGAATCCCAAGCCCAGTGCCTCACTCCTGTGGCACCACCCTCTACCCACTCACATCCTGTCTGCCCCCAAGATCTGGTCTTTCACATCTCACATCCCTCGCCTCCTCCCAGCCCCCTGCTGCAACTCTAGTCGAGGCCCCCACCGTGTCCCATTTGCAGGCAGCGAGCCTCCTAGCTGGCCTCCCACTCCCAGTCTCACTTCCCACAAATCCAGCCTCCACGCAGCTGTCAGATTCTCACACGAGTCTGGTCCTCCACTGCCCTGCCTAGAGTCATCCACGGGCTGCTCTCTGCCTTCAGAATGAAGCCTTAGTTCCTCAGCCTGATGAGACCCCACCCCCACCCCACATCCCGCTTTACTCTCAGAAGCCATGGGCCACAGTGGGAAGGTTGCCAGCTTTGGAGTAAGTGGACCTGAGCTTCCAAGGCTGATCTGCCCACTGCACCACCATGACACTGGGGACAGGTAACCTCTCCACCTTGGTGCCCCCATCTGATAAATGCAGCTAATCATAATATACTCACCTTTGCCAAGATGAGCTCCCGCCCCACCCACTCTTCTCCACACCTGCCATACTGCCCATCGCACAGTCAGCTCTAAGTGGATCACAGCTTCCTCACTGGTCTCCCCTGCCCAAGCTCGCTCCACTCTCCATCTCTTCAAACACAGCAACCAGCAGCCTTTCTAAAATGGAAACCCAGCTGTCCCTGCCGATGCAGATTCTCCTGTGACTTCCCACTGCCCCTAGGATAAGTCCTCACTCCTTACAAGGCTGTGAGTGCTCCAGCCTCTGCCTACCTTGAAGTCCACCCTCACACCCAGGGCTCCAGCTGTGTCCTCTCTGCTCCCGGCCCACTCTGCATGTACATCTTCCGGCCCAATTCCTCCTCACCTGCTGAAGGCGTCATGTCAGATGCCACCTTCTTCAGGCAGCTGTCCCTCCTCACACACACACACACCCGACCCTAACCCAACCAACCGAGGTCCCTTTCCTATGAGCCCAAGCCCACAGGACCGGCCTGGCCTATTCTCATCAGACTTAGTGCAAACATGTTTGTCTGTCTTACCAATGGCATGGCTCTGTGAGAGCAAGGCCCTCATCATGTTTAACTTGCACAGAGTAGAAACTAAATGAATGTTTGTTGAAAGGATAAAGGGGACAATAGCGAGGAAGCAGTCCTTGGTCCTTGGAAAGCCCCAGGCTCAGTGGGGGCACTTATCAGACTCAAAATATATTATTTAAAACATGGCTACAGGAAGCAAAGCCAACATACCCAGACCCTGGAGGAAAGAGCTGACAAACAAGGGAAAGGGAAACTGTGGGGACAGTTCAATTCTGGGAAGCAGTATAACTGGGATTTGGGAGTCAGTTCCAGGGACAGGGCAAGGCAACCCAAGTGTTCTGTAGCATAATGGCCGGGGGTGTTAAGGAGACCTAGCACAGTCCCTGGGGGCCGAGGGCAAGTTGCCACAGGACGGAAACCAGCTCAAGGCGGGCTGTATTCTGGGGATGGGAAGGGCTGTGTCAGCCCCATTTGACCAGACAAGCCTGGAGGATGGAACTGGCCTTTGTTTTCATCGCAAACAAGCCAGACACATCAGGTTCAAAGACAGAGCTTCCTGGTCTTTGCTCCCGACCACAAAGAGGCAGTTGGGTTCCAGGCAGACCACTGAGGCACGAAGAGGTCTGGCACCAAAAAGCCTGGTGAATTCTGAGTCCTTTCAGCCAATGCAAACACCCCTCAACATTAGCTCTTGGATGGAGGGAAACGTGGAGACTTCCCGTTTTCTGTAAGGAAAAAACAATGTTCAGACCACATGCGAGCAGTGGAGCCTCCCAAGGACCTCTCCGTACAGTGTCAGAGACGAAGCCATCGGGAAAGAGGACTTGTGAGGGGCCAAATCCAGGGAACAGGTCCAAGGGCAAGTGGACTCCCTGTGTGTGCTCAGTCTCTCAACTGTGTCCAACTCCTTGTGACCCCACGAACTGTAGGCCACCAGGCTCCTCTGCCCAAGAAATTCTCCAGGCAAGAATACTGGAATGGGTTGCCATTTCCTACTCCAGGGGATCTTCCCAACCCAGGGATCAAACCCGCTTCTCCTGCATTGGCAGGTGGATTCTTGACCACTGCACCACCTGGGAAGCCCAGCTCTCCTGAACTGAAACCCAGCTCACAGAGCAGGGGAAGCAGGCTTGCTCTGTGTGGTCCCTTGAGAAACAGAAAGGGAGCTAAGAGGTAAATGCTCTGAGGAAGCAAGGACAGAGTAGGCAGTCCTAATCAGGGGTAAATCTTTTGTCCCAGGAGGAGACAAGCAGAAGATGAATGACGTAAGCACGGAGGCTGCGGATGAAATCTCTGCCAAAGGCACATGGCAGGAGCAGACCTCTGAGCAACTTCCCACCGAAACACCAGCTGAAGGGAAGGATTTTTTCCTGACAGAGTATCCAAAGCACATGAAACTCACTCGCTCAATTTGGACATGTCTGCGACGCACCAGGGAATGCGGTGCCAAGGGGAACGAGCGCTCAGGCAGATGGAGCAGCAGCTTGGGAGTCGGTGCCCTCTCTGCAACATGAAAGCTGGGCCCTGTGGGTGTCGGTGTTGTTGTTTAGTATTGTTATTTAACTGCTCTTGTATTTATGCCTTCAGGACAGAGAAGCAGGCCCTGCCTCCTGGCACGGCTCTGAGACCTGGATCCTGGCATCATTACAGAGCGGGCGTCAGAGTGCCTGGTGAGACTAGGCCACGGCAGGGACAAGGAATCTTTCACAAGCCTTTGGGAGAGGGGGCAATGGCAGGGAAGCGGGGGTGAGCTTCCACCCGGCCACTCCTCAGACAGGCCATCTCAGGAGCATAAGGCTCTTCTGGCCACAGCCGTAACACAGCAGCCACCCTGGAGACTGGGCAGCAGTCCCTTGGAGGAGGCCACACCCAGAGCACCAAAGGGCCCGGAGGCTATCATTGGAAACGTCTGCCAAAACACCAGTGTGGGCATCACACGGCATCTTGGGACACGGATCTCAGCTTCTCCAGCCGGGGCCCAAAAGCAGGGGTCAGCTGATGCTGTGGCACCAGAACCCACACACCATACTTGCCCCCCACCACCTCTACCCACTCAGATCAGCCAAAAAGGCCACACACTGGACAAAGCAGAAGGTCGACTATCAGGTGTATTGGGGAGAGTAGAGATGGGGCACCTTCAAGAGTGCTTCCCATGGGCAGCCGCCTTGGCAGTTTGCTGGGGGTTCAGGAGGAGCAGGGAGTTCACGGGGCTCCTCCAGCAAAGATGAGCTCCAGGGCCGCCTGGATGTCCCCCCCGGTGGCCTGCAGGGCCCGCAGGCTCAGCTCATCGTCCTGGATGCCCATGTCCCTCAGCTGCTGCAGCTGGGGCTGCCACTGGCTCTGCAGAAAGACAGGACAGGCAGGAGCGGTCAGTAAGGATCCGACAGAGACTTGTTCACCTCTAGCAGAAGGAGGTGTGTTCCTCCAGGAAAGCTGCTGACATGAGGTTCCGTACAACACAGCACATTGAGGAGGTCCGCGGACTGTCGAGGAGGTCTATGGAGAGGCCTGAGGGTTTAGGGAACAAATTAAAAGTTTTTCCAATAAAAGGGGAAATGTATCATAAAGATCAAAGAGAAAAAGCATAAAGTATTCAATGTCTAAATTTCAAAAGATTACTTTCTTTCTCTGCTATATCTATAGACACACACACACTTTTAAATTAACTTTGTTGTTTTAGTATGATACACAGTGCCTGGTGGCTCAGTTGGTAAAGAATCCACCTGCACTACAGGAGGCTGCCTGCAATGCAGGAGACCCGGGTTCGATTCCTGGGTTGGGAAGATCCCCTGGAGAAGGAAACAGCAACTTACTCCAGTATTCTTGCCTGGGATATCCCATGGACAGAGGAGCCTGATGGGCTACACTCCGTAAGGTTGCAAGAGTCGGACACAACTGAGCAACCAAACCACACTATGAAAAGTGTCACACTCATCTACTCATCTCCCCCATTCCTGATAACATACTTTATTTTCTTTGAGGAAATACTTACCCTTTTCTTATATCTCTCCTTTTTTTCTAACATATTAAGGTATCATAGGAAGCACTTGTGGATGTCCTGAAATGTACCACAACAGGGCAGTTTCCAGTCTTTGCCATTATAGAAACACTGCAGTGACTGGTTCTGTACCAATGTCACTCTCTGCATGCACATACATCTCCGGGATAAATTCCGAGCAATGGGGCTGCAAGGAATTACAGGCCATCTGTACTTCCTTTTTGGTGAACAGTCTGTTACTATCCTTTGCCTGCTTTTCTAAGGAGCTGTTGGTCCTAAATCACTAGAACTTCAATTCAGGGAGGTTTTGCCCTTTGTCTGATCTGCATTACAGATTTCTTTCCCAGTTTGTGATCAGTTTTCAGACTTTGCTTCCTCTTTTTGTATGTTGGTTTGGTTTGCTTTGCAGAAATTTTCACATTTATGAATTCAAACTATATGTTACTCTTTATACAATGGTTCCTTGATTTTTTGACTTTCATCTATGAAAGGCCTTCTCTATGGATTTAAAGAAATTTAGTATTTTCAATATCTCTGTCTCATGAAAGAGGAAGTGCACACCTTAGGGAAAAGGATGTGTTTATACTGTGGGAAAGAAGGCAGTGAAGATGAAATGCAAATTCAAAGAAGCAGGTAAGCAAAGGTGAGGATGTGGAGAGTTGTTAGAAAACCACAGAAACCAACTCAAGTTCAGTTTACAGGCCAGGTGGAGACATAAAAGCTTCTGAGCTGAAGAGCAGAGCGAAGAGGCATCAGGCTGCAGATGACGAAGGAACCAAAAAGACCAACTGTCTCCAGGTCCTGCTCCTGCTCCCCTCACTATCCAGCAGAGCCACGTGGGGCAGTGAGAACCACACGGGCCGGACCCTGTCCCTGTCACTTGATGGCTTCATGACCGTGGTCCTCTTCCAGAAATGATGTTCATGCCCCAGGCTTAGGAGCAAAGGAAAGAGAGTGAAGCAAACAGTTTGTGCACAGAGGCGTGTAATAAAATGTGCACCCCCTGGGTCATGCACTTAGCTGCTAGCTAAGCTTCCATGTTCCATGAGGCAGGGGAGATCGTACCGCTCACTGGTGACCGCAGGACAAGCCTCATCTCCTTACACAGGCACTCAAGGCCCTCACACTCAGGCGTCTGCTCTCCCTTACTCTGGCTCCATCTCAGGATCTCTCATCATGGATATTGCCTTCTGCTCTTGCCGATTTGCCATGTGTACCTCCACATTCGCTCAAACAGGTAGCTGCCTCTGCTGGGACACCACATCCCCTCAACCAAACATCCCCTTCTCTGCCTGGCTAACCTCTAATGAATTCTTTGACACCACCAAGTGGTAGATACACCACCACTTTCTCAGAGAAGTTTTACTTGACCTCAAGCCTGGGCCAGCTTCTCACTCTGTTGTTCCCTCAGTTCAGTGACTGTCTGGCACCCCTCCATGGCAGGAAGGAGGACTGGCTCATCACTATCCCAGGAGCTGGACAAACCTGGACCAGACATGCTCAAGGCTGAGTCAATGCTCACAGGATGGACAAGTGACTCCTCAAGTGAAACAGCCACTGAAATACCCAAGCCGGTGGTCAGTGGAACCAGGCCATGGGCACTGGGTGCAGGAGTGGAAGCTGCAGGGACAATACCGCCCTTGCTGAGAGCACCCTCTCCTGTCACGCTGTCACGCCCCAGCTGTTCCTGCAGCAAAGCAGGCCAAGTGGGAAGGGCCTCAGAGAGCAGAGAAAATCTCAGTGTCCAAAATACCAAAGAAGCCATGTGAACATCAGAAGGGGGAAGACTGACCTGAAGGCTGGGCTGCCCGGAGGCCTGCAGGGCGTGCTGCAGGGCTTGGCTGAAGAGATCGTTGGTGATGGGCGTCCCTGACTGGACGCTGGAGGACATTGGGGAGGTCCCTGAGGAGTGGCCCTAGAGACAGACCACAGTCAGTGCCACCCTCAGAGCCACCCCAGTCTCCCAGCACACACCTACTGCTGTCACATCACCCCAGGGTGCCCTGGGCGCCTCACCACTGCCTCCCAGCAGGGGCCAGCATGAGACAGCCACACAGAGCTACCTAAAAGCTCTCTATGTGGGCACAAAGGGTTCTGTACTCTTTTGCTCCAGGGAGATGGAATGGGACCCCTGACCGAGCCTAGGACCCACACTGGGAGAGGAGAAATGGCCCTGCTGACTGGAGTGACCATCACCAGGAATGCTTAAGCCTGTGATGCATGCTTGGCCACTTTCAGGAATAAGTAAGGACTATTCATTATTGACAGGAGGTTCTTCCAACTGCTGAGAAGAGTCAGTCAGGCCTGGGATGAGCCCCAGACTTCTGAGCCTAAAGGCAGGTGAAGGGAGGTCACCTGAGCTGCTGTGGGAAACCCACTGGGGCTCCAGGTAGAGCTCAGATCAAAGCAGATGGAGCACAAGAATCAGCAAAGGTAAACCCACTCTACCACTGGGCCCTTCTCCCTGGGGGCCCAACCTGGACCTTCCCACCCCTTCTCTCCATACCTGGGTACCAGGAGTCGGCGTGTGAGAGCTGCTCTCCGGAGTGCTGGCCAGGGCCAGGGCGGTGGCCAGCTCGCTCTGGGTGATAGGCCGGGGCCCGGCAGCTCCACTGTACCCCAGGGAAGCTGGGCGAGAGCTGGGGGTGCTGCTTGAGGGCGTGGACCTGGCACTCTGGACAAGGGAGGTGCCCACATCAGGGCGGCAGCCCTGAGTGGTTCTCAGAAGAACCCCACCCCTGCTCCAGGAACAGTTCTTGGGGAGACTCCCCAGGCTGCCAGATTCACAGCAATAGAGTGACACACCTGGGCCCCCACAGGGCCTCTGACCAGCCCCTGCTGGGCATGCCAGGTCCCGGGAAGGGTGCCTCCCAGCACCATCTCCCCCAGATGGCAGGCAGCCCGGTCACTTACTGGGTGAAAATCGTCCTCATCATCAGAGAGCCCGTCAAACAGGAAGCCACCTGGAGGAGGGAGGACAGATTTCAGGAGGAGGAATAGGAAGGCACAGGCGCTGCTCCAGCATCTCGGCGCTAGTTACTCCAAATTCATGTTCTCATCTCTCCCCTGGAAAATTACAGGACAGATGCTCTCCCTGACTCAAACCCAGAGTTCCCAAGGAACACCCTCTGCCAGCACTATACATAGCTGCGAGTAAAGCAAAGCCCTGGGCCACTGCCCACTCCCCAGAGGGCCCGCATCCCCGTCCTGGGGCTCACCTGGCATGTCCCGGTAGGCGCTGGAGGGCATGCCCCGGGAAGAGGAGTCGGCCCCCGGCAGTGGGGTGCTGCCTGCTACCGAGTGCAGGACCAAGACAATGGCATTGACCAGGGCAGGGTGAGCAGGCACCAACCTGAGACGGAGCAGGAAGAAACTCAAGGGTGACTAAGAAGGAAGGAGCATCTGTGGGTTTGGCAGGAATTCTGGGCACCCCTCGTAACAGTCAAGTCACCCCTGCTTGTCCTTAAATTTCCCTGGCTATAGCACCTCCCTCCAGGCGGCTTGTCTTCCTGCTGCTCTGCCTTCAGCATCAGCAGGCCTTCACCCTGGGGCCCCTGCAGATGCTTCACTCTCCTCTCTGGCAATGCATGATGGGACACGCACAGCCCAGAGGCTCAGGGGTAGTCTCCTGTCTCGACTCCCAACACCACTTCATCGGGCAGTCTCTGACTGGTCCCCACCCTTCCAAGGGTTTGGCTGTTTTCTTCACTTGAAAATAAAGGGACACAACCTCTACTTTCCCTCCCAACTCTAAAATTTTGGGACGTATGCACCTATTTCTTTCCCAGCTTAAAATCCTTCACAGGCTCCCTAATATCTACTGAATGAGATCTAAACTGAGCCTGGCCTGCAAAGCCACCTCCCTCAGGACCCTGCTTCATCCCCACCTCTGCCTGCCCCTGCCCTTGGCCTTTGTCCTCACCTCCCAACCCTGCACCCCCTCCTCCAGCCCTGGCTCCTCCCCACCTCCTGACACATTTATAGGGCAGATTTGGGGGATGGGCTCCAAGAGCAGAATCCAGGGCAACCATTAGGCTTCTGGCCCGACCATGAGGAGAGAAAAGATGCCCTTAGTAAGATGGGCATACTTACGTATCAAGCATGTTGGGATCAGCAAAGACAGAGAAGAGGTCCTTGTCCTGGAGAACCCCTGAAGGAGAAAAGGAAATGTAGCCAGATCCAGTGGGGAGGCCTTGGAGCAACCAGCTTAACAGGGATCCTCATGGAAAGTGGGGGAAACAACGTGCCAGGAGCACAGCCCACGTGCTCTCCATTTCACTCCTACTGCCCCCCCGCACGGAGGTTACATACTGTGTACAGCACCCCAGCCTCTTTTCCCCGTGTCTCTAGGTTCTCTCCTTGTCCATCAAGGTGTGCAGGAAGTCTTCCCTGACTGCTGTGGTTCGGGCTAACTGCTGCCCTCACATGTCTTCCTCACAGTCTCATTTCTGGTGTGTGTTAGGCCACGATTTCTCTGTGCGGCTGCAGCCCTTGGAGGGCTGGGTATATGGAACACATCTGGATTACTCCCCCTCCTGCCACAAGACCAGTGAATCTTCGCATGATGTGTCAAAGCTTCTTTAAGGTAATTGCCTCCTCCTGGCTTCTCCTTCTTCAACAGTTCCTATTTCCTTTAGTTTAGCCTTGCACTTACCAAGAGCAATGGGGTCACTGCTGAGGCCTGGGGTGGCCACAATGATCTGATCCAGAGATTCCTTATTGCTGAGCATCTTAAAGACCTGTAGGAGAAATGGGGAGGGCTGAACATTCCCACTAGCTCGGTGCACTCAGAAATACCCACACACAGCTGAAGTACTTCCTTCCTCTAAGTGCTTGCACACACACCACCACAATGGAACAATAGCCCCAGGAAAGAGATGAACCTCTTTTTTTTCCTCTGAGATCATGGCTTACTGGAGGGGAAACAACATAAAAGCAAGATCACAATAAGCCTTCAATCTATGGTCCTTTCCCCCATTTCGAGTTCTAATGCTTACACAATAAAAGCTCTTATTATAAGCCCAATAACAAAGGTTTCTCTAGATTCCAAAAGTCCTTTTCAATCTCCAGACAACTATCATTTTGCATTTATATATATTGGGAAGTTTGCAGCTGTCTTCATCTTGCTTATCAACTCTCCTATGGAAAGTCATCAGTGCATTTTCCGAGTGAGGGGATCCTGGGAAGGAGCGGTGGGCAAGCAGTTCAGTCCAAGTCAAAGAATGAGGCTTAGCAGAAACAGCATACGGGTCCTTTGACTGGAACTATACTCATTCCATGAGGCCAATGTCAGGAGAGGCTGTATCACTATCATTAGAGGCAATCAACAATGCCTAGCTGAGAGCCTCTTTGGGGGAAGACAGGGTTCTACTGGGACCCACAGACATGGCGAAACCTCCCCATGGAACTCTGGGGAGCCATGGCAACCAGCTTCCAGCTCCCTCTTTGCACCACCCCTCTCCAGCAGGCCTGCCAAGAGTCTCGAAGGGGGCGCAGCACACACTCACCGCCTCCCTGTAGGAGGAGCTGCCATGCAGGGCCGTGTGCAGCACTCGGAACTCCCTCAGAGCAGCCACCTTATCGACAGGTTCTGGGGACGAGACACTCAGTCACCCTGTGACCAGGGCCTCACCCCCGCCACAGACGCAGTGCATCGCCTCAGCCAGAGTCCAGGTGCGGGTTCTCTTCCCTCCTCACCCCACTAAGAATGGGCACCCAATCAAAAAAAGCTATGCCACAGACATGAAAACGGCACTCTCTTTTTAAGCCTCTTCAGTAGATAAACAAATTCAAGTTCTAGCAGAGGAGACTCTTAGGAAAGAGATTGTTCTGATCAATGTCCCACTGCAGGAATTCTAGACTTTTCACACTTGGAAAGGAGGAGGGTATAATGAACTCAGTAGACTTTTGTGCAGTGATTTAAAATAAGTGCTGCAAGCCATCTGAACAATATGGAGCCATGTTGACACAATATGTTAAGAGAAAGAAATAGAACATAAAGTTGTACGGGTGTTCTCTAGTAAAACTTTATGAGAAGTCAGTGTGCATGTGGGCCAAGGCTGGAAGGGAACAAGCCAAGGTGACAGGATTGGGGGGAACTGTTTTCTCCTGGGTATTTTCTTTCAGGCCTCTGTAATATTATTTTGACTAAAAAAAAAACCAAACAAACAAATATAAGGACCAAGATAACACTGTACCTCTAGACTTCTGAACAAACTCTCATCACATGTCCAAAAACAAGCATGTCACTAGGACTCAAAGTTCCTTTTTGATCTTTGGACGTTATGACTCATACATATGGGAAAGTCTAGCAGTTGTCTTAGTTTTACTTGGTCACTTTACTATTTAGGACATCCACCCATTTCATAGATAATTGAGGACATCAGCCCATTTCATAGAAATTTCAGTAAAAGAAGGGGAGTAGGCAGGAAGTCCACCCTGGATCACACTTTTAAAAGTGTGGTGACCCTCAACCCAGGAAGGCTGCTTGTGATTATATGGCCTTGCACTGCTCAACTCCAAAGGCACGATTCCCAAAGCAAGGAGAATGGCACCCCTGGTGTTCTGTGTGGCAACCACACCCTTACCTATCGTTCTAATCATGAGGGTTGTCTCTTTTGAAAAATATTCACCTGAAGTAAGTTACCTGGCTTATTCGTTAAATAAATCTGTGCTAAGCATGTACTCCACGCTTTTGTAGTGAATCTTGTTTTGTGCAAGGCACAGGAATGCAAAAAGTAAAGAGTTCCTGCCATCAAGGAACTCTTAAGACAGTAAGGGAAATGAGACAGAATCACACACACACACACACAATTACAAAATACCATGCTGAGGGCTTCAACAACAGAGACATGGACCGCAGTGAGGGCATTAGGCACATGGAGGCCGAAAGCACTACTGACTGGAAGGACCACACCTCCCAGGAGAGAATGTTTGAGAGGAGTGTTGAAGGTAGAACAGATGGTGACTGGGGGAAAAGGTATTGCAGGCCTAAATGAGAACAAGCACAAAGGCTTGGGAGAATGAGGTGCTTTGAAGGAACACTAAGCTGCTTCTGCGCTGGAGCCCAGGGTACATACCCCTGCTCCAACAGCAGGCCTAAGTGAGATCCTAAAGCGATTTGTAACCTTCTGCAGAGAACCACCAAAGGGATCCAGGTGGGAAGGAAGCAACTGACACTTTCTCCTCCTACAGGATCTAATCTGGTGGAAGATAAAGAAATGTGCTTCCTCTTGAAAGAACACTCAAGGATAAAGTATCTAAAATGCCGTCACAAAAATTTCTTTTCAAATCTAAAAGTTTATTTTCACCTCTGAATAAAAAGTCCGTTTGTTTCAAAAATAAATTTCCAGAGGATAAAAAGGACTCGAAATCTTAAGCCCATAATCAGCTAAAGAGTTGTCTCTTTAACGTCTCTGAGCTAATCTCATCCTTTGGAAGTGGGAGGCAGCCAGCCCAGTGGAAAGAATACTCTTGAGCCAGGAAAACCTGGATTCACATCCCAGCTCTTGCATTCATTTTTCTAAGCAGATGACCTTGAATGAATACCTTTCTAATCCTCCTTTCCTTCATGTATAAAATGCGAATACTGTTACCTGACCGGCTGAGCCACTTGATTAAATGAGATATCGAACCGCAACAATCTGGCTGGAAGAAGCAACAAATGCTCCTTTCCGTCTGTCAATCCCCTCCAGCCAAAGACCAGAGGGGCACACCTGCAGCTGTGCCAGGGGTGTTAACTGCTCATACAGAGGGATGCGAACCACCAGAACCACAGGGCATCTCAACAGCAGCACGCTAAAAGGGACTCAGAGAATCTGGGCTTTAGTTAGGGGACTCGGTGCGGGAAGTTTAAAGAAGCAGGGTTTTGTTGTGGATTGGAGGCTGTCAGGAAGTGGGGGTGATTTTATGATTAGGTATCTTAATAATTCTTATCTAGAAGGAAGGAAAACTAGAGCAAGATGAAAGCTGAAATTGGTGAAGAAACAGCAGTCACTCCTAATAGGCAGGATAGAGGGTTATTTGGTCATTTCTGTGGTTGGTCAATGTGCAGATTTATGGCTGTTCAGAAATGAGAAGAAATCTTAGTTTTTATCTGGATCCATTATGGCCCCAGAGTGAGTGGCCTTGTAGATGCTGGTGACCTGTAAAATTGTTCACAATTCAAGGCCTAGCTGAAGGCCAGGCCAGCCCCTGGATACCATAGACTGCCTTTCTCTTTCTCACTTCCCATCAGATACAAAGGAAGATCTTTTTGTCCTTTATGTTTAGAATTGAAAAGAGGGAGAATTTCAAGCTGATAACCAGTCACAGCAATTGTGAACATTATTAAAATATGTCAAACTGCCCATTTTTAACAAAGCTAATCTCTTACACAGCTTAGCTTTATCCTCAGGGAGGCTTTTAAAACACAGATGTGAAATTTAAATTATGAATTCCAAGCAGCACCTTTTATCAATAAGTCAGAAAGGCATGAGAGGCTTTGTATGTTTCCTCCAAGAGCTACTTTCACACCATTCGAATATTCTCAAACTCCAGGAAAATAAATTAGCAGGAGTGAGGTGACTGAACAAATCACCCGCCTGAAGTCGTTTGTGGGAAGATCTGTGAACATGAGAACACACTGTAACATTTAGAGGAGGGCAAGGAGTTTTCAGCTTCTTTCTAATGAGAACAAAAATAACCAAAAAATACAAGGTTCACTGAGAAATAAACTGTTGCCCTAAAGGAATTTAAATAGATACATACTCTCCATGCCACTAAAACAATGGGTAATGAACTTAAAAGTGCCTTCTGTTAGTGGCCGCTGGCAGCAAGAAGATCAAAATTACACTGTTCATCAATGTGTCCAATCCAATAAATAATGAAGATATCCTTTATTATCATCTCAGTAAATCTCCCCTATGTTCCACCCAGGCCCTTGCCTCAAGGACACACAGACCCTCCTTCCCTTGCAGACATTTCAGAAGCTCTGCCTGTCTAAGAGCCAACACTCACCCGGTTTCTGATCAGGCTCAGGCCAGGACTTGCGCAGAACATGGACTGTGGATCCAGGTTGAATGCCATAAAAGTCAAGGGTCTGATCATCTTTTAGCTTCCGGCCACAGTATATCAGATCTGGGGGGAAGAAAAAAAAAAGAATGGTTCATTTATATTTTTCTCCTCATAACAATTTAAATGACTTCTGTCCCCTAAGAACCTTATCTTGATTGGACAGATAGCTAGAGAATGATATATGCTTTAAAAAGTACTCTTAATAAATACATTTTGCCAGCCTGGATGGAAGTGGGGCCTGGGGAAAATGAATACATGTATATGTATGGCTGATTCCTTTCACTGTTCACCTGGAACTACCACAACAATGTTCATGGACTATACCCCGATACAAAATAAATAAAGTTTGAAAATAAAAAAACAAATACATTTTAATAACAATTGTTACAAGCGTAAACTGAAAATACAGAATCTATGCATAGGAAAACTCTAGACCCTAACATCATGGAGACTGCACCATTTAAATGAATGGGAAAATGTAACAATAAAAAAGAAGGAACCCCATGTTTTTATGACTAAAAACACTTTTTTTGCCAGCTTATACCATTTTGCCTGTTTACATGCCATTGCATTAATAATATATGGCTTCCCAGGTAGCACTAGTGGTAAAGAACCCACCTGCCAGTACAGAAGACTTAAGAGACATGAGTTCAATCCCTGGATTAGGAAGATCCTCTGGAGGAAGACATAGAAACCCACTCCAGCTGGGTTGGAGAATCCCATGGACAGAGAAGCCTGGTGGGCTACAGTCCATGGGGTCACAAAGAGTTGGACACAACTGAAGAGATTTAGCATGCATGACTGAAAATATACTTTTTGCCAGTTTATACCATTTTTCTAGTTTATATGACATTGCATTAATAATACAATTTAATTATATTCACTTTCACTAGAGTGATGCTGGCTGGAGTCCAGGGTTTGATCCCTGGTCAGGCAACAAAGATTCTGAATGCCACACAGCATAGTCAAAAAATAAAAAAGACAAAAAAAAGAAAGAAATTATATTTAAATTCCTTCTTCCTCCACCTAGAGTGCCCTTGCCATTTCTCCTTTTTCACTGTCTTTCCTCCAACCAACCAACCAACCAACCAACCAAAAATCCTTCTAACCATCCCTTAAGACCTACCTCCAATGCCATATATTAAGGGCCTTTCCCTAGAAAGCACCTCCTTCCAACCCAAGTTCTTGCTCTTTCAAAGAATATGATTTGTTTCTATTTACCAACAATCACTTCCCAGCCGTGTTAACATTTGTTTTCGTTTAGTCTCTAAGTCATGTCTGACTCTTTTGCGACCCCATAGATTGTAGCCCATCAGGCTCCTCCACCCATGGCATCTCCCAGGCAAGGATACTGGAGTGGGTTGCCATTTCATTCTTCAGGGGATCTTTGCCACCCAGGGATTGAACCTGCATCTCCTGCATAGGTAGGCAGATTCTTTACCATGAACCACCAGGGCAGCCCAGTGTTTACATTATGAAACAACAAATCCCAAACTCTTAATTTACCCTTGTGATTCCAGAATGATTCTCCCCCAGAAGAAATCAGAGCAGAAGCCCATCCCCAGTCCACAGAGACTCACCAATGAGCTCAGGGTCTGGAACAGACTCCTGGAGTTTGCCAGCAATAAGCTGCTTCAGAAATGAAATACTATATCCCCCCAGGGAGTATTCTCCAAGCTCTGTCTCTGGCAACCGAAGAATAGATTTGGGGGCAAGTGGCTGGTCAGCCAGCTTCACTGCCAGGTGCCAATCTGAGAGAGACATCCTCTCTCTTTCGCGCTCTCTCTTTCTCCCTGTAAAGGAATAAAGCCTTAGTGGTTAAAGGACAGACCTACACCACCCACACCCCACCACGGGGTTGAATGAGAATTCTCTGTGACTCTGTTGGAAAAGCTCAGGATGCAGCATCAGGAGGCCTGAACTAGAATCTGAGGTCCGCTTTTCACTCATTCTATGGCAGCAAGAAACTTCAGCTCTCTAAGCCTCTTTGGCTTTACAGTGGACATAAAAATGCCATCCCACCTAACAGGTGCGTTGTGAGGTTCAAATGAGATCATCCAACCCTCTCCCTTACATAGACTCTGTGTTTCTTCATCAACTTTTGCTTTAACCACCACAACAGCTTTACCAGAAGCTCCCTGCCTCCTGCTTCTCCCTGCTAAATATCCACGCTGCCACTCATCATTTTAAAATGCAGATCTGATCAAGACACTCCTTTGTTTAGAAATCAAACCACTTCTATGAATAAGTCTAAAAGCCACAGCCTGGCTTTCAAAAATATTCACATCTGTTCTCTCTACCAGCCTTCCCCTCTCAAGAGTTCTGGGCTGCCCCACCCTCCACAACATTTAAGTCCACCCCCACCAAGCCTGGATTCATAACAAAGTTCTCCCCCACTCTGCTCAGCTGCTAACTCTGTATATAACCCCTCTTCCCTCTCTAAGCAAACTCTGATCAAGAGCAACTAAAACACAACCTGCTCTGTTCTGTCTCCCCCCTCTGTTGTTGTCACAGTCCCTCATGACAAAGGGTTACAAATATCTACACTATTTACTTCTCAATCGTCTCTGCATCTCATTCTTAGAGGCTCTTGAAAGCAAAGACTAGAATTTTGTCTTTATTGACTCAATGCCCGGTACTTATGGGTACCCAGAAAATGAATCAGAAACCGGGCGGTTGGGAGAATTAAGACAAGACAAGGCCTTGTTAGAATCATTACTGCTTCCAAAGTGGCTTCTTTGGAAGAGGAAAGAAAAGGCTTCGAGGCTGTGCAGCAGATACTAAGGCACCCTCAAACCTTCCATCTCCAGGTTAATGGCAGGGAAGGAAATGGATCTTTTAATACACTATATATTATTTAATCCTCACAACTGTTCTGAGACAGACATTATCATCTACATATTACAGCCGAAGGAACCAAGATCTAGAAAGGTGAAGTCAGCGGCCCAAGGTCACTGATAGTTAATATTGCGACAGGGACACTATCTCTTGGCTGACGACCCCACCACTCCCACAGAACCAGCTAACTAGTCACCACAGGTCGATCCCGCGCGGCCCGGGACCCAGCGCCCTCACCCGTCCCGCGGAAGGAACCCGGCCGCAGGGCCGCCGGTGTAAACACTCACTCAGGTCCTCTCGCCGGAAACCGGAAGCTCCGCGCTGCATTCTGGGAGTTGCAGTTCCTGAGGCCGCTCCCCCATCCACCCAACCCCCGCCCCTTTATAAATAACCGGCCGGCAAGGGGGCGCTAGTTGCAAAGCTTCCGGTTTCCGGGGCTGTGGCTCTTCTGCAGTTTGAAAGTCCGGGCGCGAGGGTGTCTTCTTGCTTTCGTGTGAGAGTGTTATGTATCAGTCAGTCTTCCAAGGCGCAGGTCACCGGAACGAGGTCTGACATGAGGTTTGCGTGCGCGCGTGCTAAGTCGCTTCGGTCCTGTCCGACTCTTTGCGACCCCACGCACTGCAGCCCGCCAGACCCCTCTGTCCGTGGAATTCTCCAGGCAAGAATACTGGAGTGGGTTGCATGCCCTGCTCTAGGGGATCTTCCCGAACAAGGGATCGAACCGGCGTCTCTTTTGTCTCCTGCATTGACAGATGGGTCCCAGGTGTGATGTTTACAGCCTCGCGATTCCCGCAATGTCCTGGCACGCATGCAGAGTCCGCAGGTTACGCCAGGTCCTTACGGCACTGCAGATGGGAACGCCAGTTTCCTAACTCTCGGCCCTGGGTCTCCAGCTTCGACCAGTCGTCGCTCGGCAAGGACCCTTTCCGAGCGGCCTCTTCAGACTCGCCCAGCCTCGTACTCCTCACCAGGAAACGGCCTGTCTTTGAGTGGTCAGCTTCCTTTGTGCTCCTCGCTTCTGGCTTTTCGTGGCGAACATGCCTGCGAAGGCATACTAGGAACCCAACGATGACTTCCTCTGAAAGTTGGTACGTTGAGAGAAGTTACCAAGGGTTCCTGTTAACACCCGAACGTGCAGTAGTGGGGTTTATATCAGTCATTCATAGAATCAGTTCGGGAAGGGGAATTTCACTGAACTCTCAGAGAAACTGCATACAGTCGTCCATGGTATCCGCAGGGGATTGCTTCCAGGAGCCCCTCGTGGATACCAAAATACGCAGATACTTAAATCCGATGCGTAAAACTGGTATTGTACGGTCGACTGTATTTTAGATGCGTAGTTAGAACAAATTGTTTTTGCCCAGAGGTTAGAATTAAACTATTCTGTTCGAACTCTACTGGAGGAACTCATTCAAGGACTAAGGAAAGGCAAAAAAAACCCAAACAGGTAAATATTTTAGAAAATAATGAGGTTGATCCTAGCAACCAAAGACTGATTTGGTGTGCACAAACGTAAAAGCAGGACTGCAACATTCCAGTGTACGGACTGCGACGAAGGCAACAATTGAGCAGGAGAGCTTGACTATGGAGAGCAGATAAACTGCAGGTTCTGGGAGGGCCTAGCATGCAGCTAATTATTCCTCTACTCTTCAGTAACCTGGAAAATTCTTAAAGGGAATACCAGACTACCTGCCTCCTGAAAAATCTGTATGCAGGTCAAGAAGAAACAGTTAGAACTGGACATGGAAAAACAGACTGGTTCCAAATTAGAAAAGGAGTAAGTCAATGCTGTATATTGTCACCCTGCTTATTTAATGTATATGCAGATTACATCATGTGAAATGCAGGGCTGGATGAAGCACAAGCTGGAATCAAGATTGCTGGGAGAAATATCAATAACCTCAGATATGTAAATGACACCACCCTATGGCAGAAAATGAAGAGGAACTAAAGAGCCTCTTGATGAAAGTGAAAGAGGAGAGTGAAAAAGTTGGCTTAAAGCTCAACATTCAAAAATCTAAAAATGGCATCTGGTCCTATTACTTCATGGCAAATACATGGGGAAATAATGGAAACAGTGGCAGACTTTATTCTCTTGGGCTTCAAAATCACTGCAGATGGTGACTGCAGCCATGAAATTAAAAGACTCTTGCTTCTTGGAAGAAAAGCTATGACAAACCTAAACAGCATGTTAAAAAGCAGACACAAAGGTCCATCTAGTCAAAGCTATGGTTTTTCCAGTAGTCATGTATGGATGTGAGACTTGGACCATAAAGAAAGCTGAGCACTGACGAATTGATGCTTTTAAACTGTGATATTGGAGAAGACTCTTGAGAGTCCCTTGGACTGCAAGGAGATCAAATCAGTTGATCCTAAAGGAAATCAGTCCTGAATATTCATTGGAAGGACTGATGCTGAAGCTGAAGCTCCAATACTTTGGCCATCTGATACGAAGAACTGACTCATTTGAAAAGGCCCTGATGCTGGGAAGAATTGAGGGCAGGAGGAGAAGGGGATGACAGAGGATGAGGTGGTTGGATGATATCACCGACTCAATGGACTTGAGTTTGAGCGAGCTCCAGGAGTTGGTGATGAACAGGGAAGCTTGGTGTGCTACAGTCCAAAAGAGTTGGCGTGTCCGCAAAGAGTTGGACACGACTGAACAACTGAACTGAACTGAACTCTTCTAATATAGGAGATTTTCATGAATGTCACCCCATCTTCCTAAAGCCTAGGTTCCTCATTGTTGCTGTTGTGCAGTTACTAAGTTGTATCCAACTCTTTGCCACCCCATGGACTGCAGCACACCAGGCTCCTCTGTCCTCCACTATCTCTCAGAGTTTGCTCAAATTCATGTCCATTGAGTCAGTGATACTATCTAACCATCTCATCCTCTGCCACCCCCTTCTTTGGCCTTCAGTCTTTCCCAGCATCAGGGCCTTTTCCAGTGAGTCAGCTCTTCTCATCAGGTGGCCAAAATATTGGAGCTTCAGCATGAGTCCTTCCAATGAATGTTCAGGTTGATCTCCTTTAGGATAGACTGGTTTGATCTTGCTGTCCAGGGGACACTCAAGAGTCGTCTCTAACACCACAATTTGAAAGCATCAGTTCTTTAGTGTTCAGCCTTCTTTATGGTCCAGCGCTCACAGCTGTACGTGACTACTGGAAAAACCATAGCTTTTGACTGTATGGACTTTTGTCAGCAAAGTGATATCTCTGCTTTTTAATATGCTGTCTAGGTTTGTCATAGCTTTCCTTCCAAAAAGCAAGCCTCTTTTAATTTCATGGCTTCAGTCATCATGTGCAGTAATTTTGAGCCCAAGAAAATGAAATCTGTTGCTGCTTCCACTTTTTTCCCCTTCTATTTGCCATGAAGTGATGGGATCAGGGAAGCCTGGGGTCACAAAGAGTCCGACTTGACTGAGTGAACTTAACTGATGGGATCAGATGCCATGAGCTTAGTTTTTTGAGTGTTGTGTTTCAAGCCAGCTTTTTCACTGTCCTCTTTCATCCTCATCAAGAGGCTCTTTAGTTCCTCTTCACTTTCTGCCATTATTTTAGTGATATCATCTGCATATTTGAGATTATTGATATTTCTCTTGGCAATCTTGATTCCAGCTTGTGATTCATCCAGTCTGGCATTTCACACGATGTACTCTGCATATGAGTTAAATAAGCAGGGTGACAGTATACAACCATGTACATACTCCTTTCCCAATTTTGAACCAGTCAGAAGACAGGTAAGATGGTCTGATATTCCTGTCTCTTTAAGAAGTTTCCAGTTTGTTGTGATCCACACAGTAAAAGGCTTTAGTGGAGCCAACGAAGCAGAAGTAGATGTTTTTCTGGAACTCCATTGCTTTCTCCATGATCCAACAAATGTTGGCAATTTGATCTCTGGTTCCTCTGCCAGCTTATACATCTGGAAGTTCTCAGTTTACGTACTATTGAATCCCAGCTTGGAGGATTTTGAGCATAACCTTAGTAGCATGTGAAATGAAGACCCTGTCATCTTGTTTTCCTCACAGTGGATCTAAATATACTAGGTGCTCATGAGGTTTTTGTTTTGACGATTTCATTATCCGCTCCATGAGAGAATGAGCAATGACTATCTTACCCTCCACTTTATCTTCATCAGTTGACCCGGACCTGGCGCATAGTAGATGAGCAATAAATAGGTCTTGAGTAAAGAAGTCATCTACCAAATGTGGTTGTCTTGCTATGGCTTGTTGCTCCCAGGAAAGGAGGTAAGCTTCTCTGAGTTTTGTAATGATAGATTATTAAATGAGTAAAAATGAAGAAGTAACCCAGGACCAAGCAGGTTCTTTGGGAACCAGTTTACCAAGTAGGTGCTGTAGTCAGAAGCAGGGTCAGATTCCAGATAGAATCAGAGGTCTGGACAGAAGACAAAGAAGGATGACCATACTTGGTGAAAAAGAAAGTGTCCAGGCCCAGTCCTTCAGTCAGTCTGTCCATATTTGGAGACAATACCCTCATTAGCTTTCCCTGAGAAAGTAGTGAAAAGTTTTTCATTAATCCTTCAAGAGACTTATTTGGCCAATCATTAGCTATTGGAAAGCAAATTATAAGAGTGTACATTTGCATTTTTAAAGTAACTTTATAAAGTTAATATGGCAGTTTCTAGGAATGGCAAGATAGCAAATGAAAATCATCTGCAAGTACTCCTGCTACAAACAAAAATGTATAAAATAATACATTTATTAAAAATCACACACAGGGAGCCTAGCACTCTGTGATGTCTAAAGGGATGGGATTGGGGGTGGGGGTGGGAGGGAAGTTCAAAAGGGAGGGAACATATATATATACTTATGGCTGATTCCCATTGTTAGATGGCAGAAACCAGCACAACATTGTAAAGCAATTATCCTCCAATTAAAAAAAAAAAAATCACATAGTTGTGGGGAATCTTCTGATACCAGAAATGAAGGGGTAACTGGAAAAAGGCAGTGAGCTTTGGAAGCTGATGATCACCTCTACAGATAGGTAAGAGGTCCTGGAAGCCTTGCTTGGAGATTTTTGTTTTAACACCAAAACACTGGACTGGGCCTCTGAGCAATTAAAGCTGATACCATATACCACTACATAAAGTTGAAAACGTTAAAAGAGCTGCATCCTAAGTAAAAGGGCAGAGTACAAAAGAACCAAAAAACTCAAAACCATGCATCAGCACTAAGAGGACAAGAAAAGTTCTCTGCTTGGCTCTGAAGGCAGGGCAGTGAAAGGGCAGTTGATGTATGAAGGAATAGTCTTCCCTGAGAATTTGAAACCCTAGCACTGTTCTTTGTGTAACTTTGTGGCAAAACTTTCCCAGAAACATCCAAGATTGGTCCTGAGATCTGCAT